AAAGAAAAAAATTCTGATGATAAAGTGTCCAGAATGATCACAGGCTCATGAATACTCCATGGAAATTGATAAATACTTATTGCATTCTTTTGGAGTCCAAGAGATTAATGACTCAACTCAACAAGTGGAACACAAACCAACTTTCAGGAACAAAGGTGCATAAAAAGATATTTTCCCTTCAAGAGGAATAAGGTTAAGATAAGTTCAATTATAAATATAGAAAAAAAAGTAATAAAAGAAATCTCCTTTCACATAGCAGATGCGGGATTGGCATGATTTCTTCCTTTTTTGAAACTTCAATGTCTGGAAATTACAAGTGCACATTAACTGCAGAATTTTTTAATAAGATAACAACTGTGTTTAGTGCATAATGAGAACCCATTACACCAAAGGCAGAATCTAACTCAAAAAGACACAAACAATTACTCAAATCTACACAGAAACCAATAGATATCGATACTCTTTTACATCCTTGTAAAAGTAGTTAGGTACCTGTTAATTAAGCAATATATGAGGCACAAGCAAAAGAATCACTAGAATAAAGCACTAAAAATTCTCATAAGCAGATCAATTCCACCGCCAACGTTATCAAAGTTTTTCTTTTCTTGAAATAACCTTTTCAAAGTTTTATTGCTGCTGAAGAGACAAGAAATTTTCATTAGATGTTACTCATTTCTCACTATAAGAGCAAAATTAAACATTACAAAAAATAACAACTCATATCAGCTTTTAAAAGGAGCAACTTTCTAGGATTTTAAGACAAAGGAACATTACCACTTTCACTATGTTTGGACTTCAAATACCTGTCGGACAGGGCTGCTCCTAAGTCCAAAAGTAATTCCAAAACTTAGAGGCTTAGCACTTTTTCATACATGGATATTCAACTAAAATCTCTATACCAACTATTTGTTTCAAGCTCTCAAAAGGGATAAGGGCAATAAGCTATTCCCTGCTTTACCAAGGGCCATCATCAGTCAAACTTTCTTTTGTTTTACAACATAGTAGCTTTTTGCCAAGAAGAATGAGAGAGTTCCATGCAATCTGAAGAATATCGTGCTAATGTTTCTCCACAAAACAAACAGAATGGAACAATAAAACATAAGTTCATAATAACTAACCGCATCAGACATGTCACAATGGAGCTTGGTTACAGAATCCCCACGCCCAAGCTCTTGGGCAACTCCATAAGCAATGTAAGTTTTTGGCCCCATGTCTGGCTTCAGCGAGTATTTTGGCAGTTTGACAGCAAGATTTAGAAGTCCTTCCTTAGGATCTGTATATTCCTTAAAGGGCAAACAACACAGGAATTCAAAACCATGACGTGGCAGTCGTTCATGGAATAGATTCGATGGAGGCCAATCTTTCAATTTCAATATTCTGGGCCACTGATAACTGTCGAATCGACCCTTTGAATAACCAGTAAAGAATTCGTGAATATTGATATCCCCCTGCATTCACATAAATTGTTATGATGATCCAGCATAACCAGTGCAAGAGGTGAATAGAAAACACCAAGTACCAGTAACAATGACACATATAAAGATCGAAGGAAAGAAGGAAGAGAATATTGGAGGAAACCTTTTCTTTTGGAAAAAGAAATAGAATACTAGAAAAGGCAACTGGTTAGGCACGTCAAAGAGACTGATGAACAAATGAAAGCAGAGTGAGGAACCCTATGAAAACATAAAAACCCGGCTCGAGTTGCAGGTAAAACTCTTAAAACTGCTATGTACTTCAGTAAAAGGGAACAATTATAAACATTTTAGCATAAATAAAGGCAGCATGTGGATAAAAATAGTTCCTAATTTTTATTCTCTATACCCATGTATGCATGTGTGTGTCTCGATGTACAATATATGTACATCAGACAACATGTATGTATAGATATGTATGCATAATTGTGATGCATATACGATAAGTAAATATAGATACGAATGGATAGCTATATACATCTAATATATACATATATATATATATATATCTAAGTGCATGTCTTTTTTTGTGTGCAAAAATGCATGCATGTATAGATGTGGACGTCGCCATATAAAATGCTATGTGACGTTTATTTCAAAGAAAAAAATGCAAAATCCATATGTATGTATGTCATAAATAGAAAAAATTACGTACATAAATATGCAATGTGTATGCATATTTGTCATAAATAGAAAAAATTATACGTAAATAAATATGCAAATTAGCCAGTAGACTTAAGCACTTAACTATAATAAAAAGATAGTTGTTCTGTACTTCGTGTTTTTCTCTATGTTCAATATCATGCGATCTTTCTTTAATTTCACCTTCTAATTATTGATTTTATTCAACCACAACCTATGTATTTATGTATAACACGTATATCTATAGAAAGTTTTTTCTTTTTTGAAATATCTATCTACAGAAAGTTAAACTTAAAATTACTCATGGCTTGAGATTTTTATCCCTTATACCTTTATGGGGTACTGGGACAACTGAGAATAAAGTGTTATAGCAGGGCTTTTTCAACTGGTTTGTAGCTCATATGGTTGGAACCAAATGTCAGAATCTTCAGCAATGTTTCAAATGCATAGCATGTTTTGGATTGTATTAATTTTTGTGTGTGTTGCTTCTTTGTCGGGGGTGAAAGGTACCTTATTTTCCCCTCTTCTCTACATTCTCTTTTTCTTCAATAAAATTCTTTTGTTTTATCCAAAAAAGATATATTTATGGCTAAACGGTGCAAAACTTTTGACCTAGTTTCAATTTTAACCTTTTACTTCTAAAATGGATCCACAAAATATCAACGCTTTTACAAACCCTTCTTTGTTTTGTTTAGGCTGTATTTGTGGAACAAATAAACTACATTTGTAGAACTGGTTTAGAAAAAAAAACACTTGATTTAATAAGAAACAATTGAAATTTTTATCCAAGATGATAAAAATTGACATACTTGAGAATTTCAAATGAAATTTAAACAATACATTTTACCCTTTATCAATTTTAATGTAATTTGTAATGCACTATCCTAGTTCCCATTGGTATTTTCAATATGGTAAATTTTCTCTGTCTTCTAATAGAATTTACATTTTCTGTTAATTAAATTTATAAATGAATTTCACAAAATAGTTTATTTATTCCAAACAAGCCTTAAGATACAAATACGTTGAAACAACAATAGATTCTTTCAAATAGTTAGTGATAAATTCCACTTAGTTGTGTATAGAGTGTCATAAGAAGGAAGAGAATTTCCCATGAATTATAATTGACAAGTCTAGCCTCAACCTCTTACTTCTAACAAAAGGATCAACAAGTCATTCTGAATCAAACACATGAAAATTAAATTAATTTTTTTAAATAAAAAGTATAGTATATTGACATAGCAGGAAGAGAGTGCAACCCAAACACAAAAGAATTTATAAATCTACCAAAATATCAATGCGTCCCCAAGATGCTCACCGCAATTCAAAGAGTGGCTTACCAAAAACAAATTAAGGCTTGGAAACAAGTATCCTTAAATCTGCTAAAATTAAATTCCACACCCTCAAATTTCTCTTGTTCCAAATGATTGAGATGGTGGCAAGGTGGATAAGCATGCAAGAATTCTTGCCACTGAAATCCTTTCCACGCCTATAACTCCTCCCTTCTATTACTCCCCCTGTGAGCTCACTCCCAAATTAAATTAAAATTTACTCAGATTATCCCTAACAATACCGAATATATGAGAAATATTACTTACATGGACACCATTTTCCACTTGATTTTATATCAAAACAAGCTGAGTGTAAACTGAAATCTTGTCTGAAGTGGGACAACTCTTCAGCCCATCTACTTAATCTATTGACTATAGTGGAAATATTGTGTTCAAAAACTAGTGAACTAACCAGTTTGATACAGATTTCCACGAGCCACCAGCACATGAATCTTATTCACAAACTAGCATGTGCCCAGTGAACAGTCTTCCATGTTCTTGTTCAGCTTACTAAATAATACTAGTCCTTTTGGTGTTTAAATAAACTTCTTTTTTCAAAAAAAAGAGAGCTCAAATGGAAACTCATAAGGAAAAACACCAGAACTAACTTTTATAAGACACATAGACCCATAACAAACTGGGACTGCAATAAGAACAACACTCTACAATATTGACATGACTAGTAAGCAGCATACAACGGCAATAAGTTTCAAACTCCTAATAGCATTAATAGGGGTAATTGGGAGAAATCTAATTTTTGTTATTATGTGCAAGATTTCCAAAAACTTAGAACGATAAGATTAAAGATTAAACAAAGAAAAGAAGACTGCTGTAAGAAATGGAAAATAGAATGTAAGCAACATCCTTCATAAAAGGCACAGAAAACAATAAGCCATTAAACTGACCTGACAACCATCTAAACAATCAATGGCCTGGACATCCAAATGTGTCTCATGCTTCAGCTTTTTAATCTGGCGGAAGGCACGCCACATGACCATTGGTTCCCAGCTTAATCCAGATGCAGTTTCCAGGACATTCCTAACAAGCACTGGCTCAGCTTTCATCCAATGGTGTTGAAAATGCTTCAGATCATCATGTTGAATGTCTTTGGCCCACGGACAGTACAAATAGTTGTCATAAGAATCTTCCCGAGAAGCTGCTTTCAACAAATTAGGGTTGCTTAGATCAACATTGCCGTTGGAGTCAAAACAAGGACATCCTCGCAAAGAAGTGGTACCAACATCCAGAAGTTCACAAGTTTTTGCTATTTTTTCTGCTTTATCAACCAAATCTGATATCTCATTTTCAGGAAATATACACTTCAGTACTAGAATCCCGTTGCCACAGTGGCAAGAGATGCTCCCATCTTCATTGGCCTTCCATTCAGAACCTGTCCTCACATGATCCTTAGGTTGTACCTCGGCAGACTTTTCCACTATTTCCTCCTTTTCACCATGCATATAGTCAAGACCTTGACTAATGTACTGCACAACCACAGCTTCCCCA